AGAAGGTCACATGTTTTACTTTTATAAGGTAGGAAATTTATTTAGTGAGCAGCCTGTGCAAAAGATCTGGTCAATTGAACAGCTTTCTTTTTTTCACTTTCATCCCACTAAGTTCAATTTGCAATATAACCCCTCACAACACTCTTGGGGGGCCTGAGATGGAATCCATCCATCAATCAGTTCATACCTGCTACAATCTCTCCGAATGTCTATCTACATGCATTCTCATAAATTTTATAGCTTTCTGACTATTTTGCTAAAAGACTCAGATGAATCCCTATCAAGTTCACTGCTCGACATAGCTGCTATCAATATAAGCCCCCACATACCGGTAACTTGCATGGCCCCAAATAAAACTTGTCTTTTAAACTATCAATGATAAATGGGGTTTTAAAGTATATAGTCTGCTCAACTATTAAATTTTCTGGTTGTGCGAGTAACAGAAAAATAATTTACTGTGTTTTAATAAAAGACAAGTTTTGTTTGGGAACTAATCGAGTTATGTGTGGGCTAAACGACTTTGGGTTGAGGGCTAATTGACTTCTGACACTTCTGGTTGGGAGATTAAACTTGCTTGGGGCTACTCGACTTCAAGACTAAACGACCAGTGACCAAATTAAGCTAAAAGTTTTGGAGTGAAAATAAATTGCATTCCAGAGGTCCTTGAAAACAAAAGAGGCATATCCAGGAAGTCTTTGAAAGCAGGTGCAAATTACAAGCTGATTAAAATAGGTTTCGAAACCTAATTTGCAAACCAAATTCAACGCGATTGGGATCTCTAAAACGGAAAAAAGAAAACAGAACGAAATTTTAGAGACTGTACCTTTGCGTTTCCCTTGATTGTCACTGAAAACCGGGCTGTCTGAAATACCATTAAAAAGAGCCTCCACGTCATCTCCGCCAAACCCGTACAGATCATCCAAAAACGACTTTTTAGGCTCGACAACTGCAAGTAGAACAAACAAAGTCTTCAATAAAAGCGACATCGCGAACATTTTCCGCTTTCGATTCTTGAGGAGTAAGTAACATGAATAATTTCGAAAGTGAAAGGTTTCAGTGCAGGTAGTTAAGCCCTTTTAGCGAGTTTACCTGGTTTCTTTGCTGTATGTAGTTTCTGATCCAAAAGTTTAATTCGGGGATGACACATCAAATGTTCAAATCCTGGCGCTGGAGCAGCTGCTGGTACAACAGCTTGATTCGCATGAAGAAGGCTCAAGTGTGTCATTTGCTCCATTTGGCACGTTGTCAGATAGTTGAACAACTGAAAGAAAAAGAAAAAAGTACAACTCGACCATCTGCCATAGCAAACAGGAAGTTTTAAGCATAACTTATGGAATCTCTCCGAGTTCGCGAGAGAAACTGTATTTTTTGCTTTTGAATAACATATTAGAACAAATGGCTTGGAAATATTTACACTTGGAACTGTGTTGTGAAAACGGGAGAGTAGCAACACCTTTTTAACGCCTTAGAATTAGGTAAAAGAAATTTTCACCTCGCCATGCTGAACGGAAGTTGTTAAGCAGCGAAAAACATTCTATGAACCCACCTCCATTTTATTGAGCAGAATCCTTCCAGAATTGAATGTATTCGCCATCTCATAAGATAATTCTAGAATAAAACCATATATAAACATAAGAAATATATAGTGTGACCCTAATCCCTTCATACCAGCAAGTCTTGTGTTCGTTTTCCAAAGAGGAAGTCGAAATTTTGACGCTGCTGAGCACCCAGTAAGGACAATATACACGGGAATCTTAGGCTAGAACCTTAAATATCTACAACGTACCTTTAACTTTAGCTATGAAGGGTATTCTCCGATAAAATTTTCTCGTTTCTGAAAGACAAGAACCTGCACCGACCGCACCGCAAAGACAAGTTCAATGTGAATGTAACTTTTTCCTTCTTTCGAGTTTTTGACATCAAAACCGAAATTTGATTGGCTATTCAGTGCAACCGATCGTGCCCAAGCCTTTGCGCGGCAACAGACGATAGGAGCGTTGCTTGGGGGTGATCTGGATCAGGATCAGGGATCCAAGATCACTCGGATCATGGTGCATCAAAGGGACCGACGAATCCACTCTCGTCACGGATTCATCGGTTCCTTTGATGCACCATGATCCGAGTGATCTTGGATCAGTGATCCTGATCCAGATCACCCCAAAGGAACTCACTCAATATTCGTATTCTCGGTATTGGACTGGAACTAGCCTGGGACGCCTGGCGATGCCTGCGTTGTTATTTGTATTTGAAGAGACTCCAGCTGCGTGTACCTTAGTGCCAACCGTTTTCCTACGATGTGGGAAAACGGAATTCGAACTTCCAATTTCGTTTTTCGTTTACTCACGCGATCGGAAAAGGGAATTCGCGATTCCATTTTCGTTTTCCGTTCTCCTTCTACATTGAAAATGAAATTCCAACTTTTATTTTCGTTTTTCGTTTTCCCACAACTTTGGACAATAGCATTCTAATTGTCATTTCCTTTTTTCGTCTTTCGTTTTATAAGATATTGAAAAACGGAATTTGAACCTTGATTTCGTTTTCCGTTTCTCTGTTTTTGTCACTTTCTTATGTTACCTGAATTGGAAAAATATTGGCACTTCCTGTCGCTAACAATAGACCTGGGAACCACATCCTTGATGAAGTCTTTGTCCGCCGTTTTCTTACTGAGGAAAATAATAGTTATGAAGACCTTCTCGAGGTAATCAAGAAACGTTACCCGAATCTAAGGGGCTGCACAGTAGTTTGCTAAGTGTAAAAAGGTTTTTCAATTATCATGGTATCAAGAAGAGAAGGTCAGTTGCGGACTATAGAACAGTCGATATTCGGTTAGTGTAAAATGAGGACTGCGGACTGCAGACTGGGGTAAAATGCAGACTGAGGGTAAAAATGCAGACTGCAGACCAGGGGTAAAATGCAGACTGTAGACTTTTTAACTGAGTTGTGTTACCGTTTCCATCATTGAGAGCTAACCGTAAACAGGCAAACCGGAGCGTTATTTAAGCCAACCTGAGTGATATTCAGGCTAACCGGAGCATTGCAAACTTTCACTGCGATTAGCCTGAAAAACTGTTTCCGGTTAGAAATCGATAATGGAAATAACACCGTCGATATATACTTAAAAAGTCTGTAGTCTGTAGTTTGCAGTCTGCATTTTACCCTCAGTCTGCATTTTATTCCCGGTCTCCAGTCCGCAGTCTTCGTTTTACACTGACCGGTCGATATCGAAGTAGAAGGTGCCATATCGGAGGTTCGACGATATGTTCCAAATCGATCATGACAAACTTTTGTACCGAAACTTTTTGACCTTACAGTGGGACCTAAATAACCATGCATTTAATCCCGTGATTTGTGATAGTATACGCATAACTTCATTTCCTTGCCGATATCGATATCATGGTAGTCCTACTAAACAGAAGGCTTTTATCAACAGTCTGCGCGCTCGATACAGTTTGTAGCGGGCTGAAAAATTCGTAAATATTACTTTTCTATAAATATAGCGGCACAGTTTTTGTATGCTATTTGTTGAAATCAAAACTCCGTATGTACAGTCAGTGACATCATGTACAGTTAGCTACGACGTCCATTTTGAGGATCGTAAGAATGCGTGTACCTTAGTGCCAGCCGTTTTCCTACGACATGGGAAAACGAAATTCGAACTTCCAATTTCGTTTTTCGTTTACCCCAGCCATCGAAAAAGGGAATTCGAACTTTCAGTTTCGTTTTTCGTTTTCCTAATACATTGAAAACGAAATTGGAACTTCTATTTTCGTTTTTCGTTTTCCCATGACTTCGTAAAACAGAATTGCAGTTGTCATTTCCGTTTTTCATCTTCTATTTTCGTAAGACATTGAAAAACGGAATTTGAACTTCGATTTTCGTTTTTCGTTTTCGTGTTCTATTATATTATCTCAAGACAGTAGCCTATTAAGCAGACGCTAGCGCTCTTTGGGCTTATATATATATTTTCCTATCTTACGATCCTCAAAATGGACGCAGCTATATTTATAGAAAACTAATATTTACGAATTTTTCAGCCCACTACAAACCGTATCGAGCGAGCTGACTGTTAATAAAAGCCTTCTGTTTAATAGGACTACCACGATATCGATATCGGCTAGGAAATAAAATTATGCGTATACTATCACAAATCACCGAATTAAATGGTTATTTAGGTCCCACTGTAAAATCAAAAAGGCTCAGTACAAAGGCTTGTCATGATCAATTTGGAACATATATAGTCGAACCTCCGATATGGCACCTTCTAGTTCGATATCGACCAGTCAGTGTAAAACGAAGACTGCGGACTGGAGACCGGGGATAAAATGCAGACTAAAGGTAAAATGCAGACTGCAGACTGCAGACTACAGACCTTTTAATATATATCGTCGGTGTTATTTCCATGATATCCACTATTTCTAACCGGAAACAGGGTTGTTCAGGCTAATCGCAGTGAAAGTTTGCAATGCTCCGGTTAGCCTGAATATCACTCAGGTTGGCTTAAATAACGCTCCGGTTTGCCTGTTTACGGTTAGCTTTCAATGATGGAAACGGTAGCACGACTCAGTTAAAAAGTCTACAGTCTGCATTTTACCCCTGGTCT